ATACAAAAAAACACAGAGGATGTCTGTTACAAATATTCATAAGCAAAAACAATATAGAGCCAATATATTTCAACGAAAGCCTTAATTTGTTTCCGACTTTCTTTAGTCAATTCATTATTGTTGATTATCTTGGCAGCGCTTAAATTGACCGATTTAATTTTCTGTGGAAAGACAAACCTGCATTCGTTTTTCATCCTAACATAATCTTCATAAATAGTATAGGGATTCATGACATCCTTCTTTCATGCGAAAAATCTATGTACCTCGGCTTGATGGTACATAGGTGAGCGCATCCTGTGTGGTTGACCGTTAGTTCTGTGTAGCGTGTTCGATCCTCGTTAGATTATGTAAACATTCAACATTAAATAAGACAAGAAATGTTGACATGTCGTAATATCAACCAACTTTTCCCAAATAGCAATTCCACCTCAAGAAGTTAGTAGGAATTTGATGTTTTTAATAAAATATGAATCCATATAAAATAACTTAAAAGATAACACTCTCTAATTTATTCGGACTATATTTTTTCTATCAGTCTTCGATTTTCATCGCTTCTTTGCAGTACACGTTAATTATTCATAAGCATCCCTCATCTCGTTCATTGTATTTTGATAATCAAATAATAATGATACTAGTTGAATATTTTAAAGGCCATATCCCTTCTGGACGTATGCGAACATGACTCTCCACAGATTCAATTATCTTTATTATCTACGAATTGCCACACCTTCTTAAAAAGATAATGATGTTGTTCCTCATTGCCTTTTCCACAGTTTGGAATTCAGAGTTTTTTTTTCTCTTAGACTTGCTGTCATTCAGACAAGAGAGTCCAAACCTGTTATTTAAGCATAGTTGTGCGGAAAAGAGATATCTTCACTTCTTTCCCAAGTACATCTGCCTCGTACTACCAGGATTTAATATTGGTGGGCACAATCTTACTAAATAAGATAAGCAGATGACACTGTGTTGATAACAGACATAGAAATAAGCCTAAAGAACATCGGAAACAAGGTAATAAAGGAAAGCAGGAAGAAAAGACTAAACATAAAATGTAAAAAGAGATAACAAGTGTAGGCGGAAAAGTTCATAGTCTGACGATGAATGAGATATACTAGAACTGAAACCTTGCATGCATTAATTTCAACACTTCTTATTAACAACTGCATTGTTTCTTTCCGGGTAAAGTGACATCTGACCGTTCAAAGAAGACTGTTTATCCTGTCTGTCAAAAAAAAATCATCAACACCAGATATGACGTCATTCTCACTGCGATACTGGTTCACAGGTAAGTATATTTTCATGTTGGGGAACAGATGATAGTCAAAGCAGGAGAATAGAGAGGGTGATCAACCAGTTTAACGCCACAGTCACGCATAGCAGCAATCGAAATGAAGGACTTGTGTGCTGGAGCGTTGTCCTGATGTCAGTTTGCCTAGACATTTGGTTTTGATAGTCTGTCGTAACTTCCTCAGCAAGTTGGCATAGTATTTTCCATTGATAGTGTGACACTTTTGAAGATAGTCAATAAGCACAATGCCTTTTGCATCCCACCAAAAACTAAGTCTGTCACCATCTCTGCAGATCAAATGATCTTTTCCTTCTTTGGAGCAGGTAAAGAGTGGTGTTTCCACTGCATTGATTATCTCTTTGTGTCTGGCTCAAAGTGATGAACCCAACACTCATCCTGGATTAGGAAACCAGCTGGATCTGCCTCAGTCAATTTCAGATTTTTCCGTACTGTGATGAGGTTGGTGCACCTTTGATCAGGTGTCAAAAGACGTGGCACCAACTGAGAAGAAACCTTTGTCATGCCAAGTTCACTTTGCATGATATTTTTAATTATCTCATAGGATAAGCTAATCACATTAGCTATTTGATTAAAGTCAATCGCCTGTCATCCATGTGGTGAAAACGATCAATGTTTTTTCTATGTGGTGGCAGTTGCAGAAATTACATACCTTAGATCCGCATCAAGAATATCTCTTCCACTAATAAAGTTAGCTGTTTGATAAATCTGGAATTTCATCCTCTAATGTAGCAACTATGTCAACATGAATGTCCTTGGGGATTAAACCCCTTTTCTACAAGTATTTGATAAAATCACGATGCCATATTTTTTCCATTTTCACGAGAAGCCGCTACTAGTTACTTTTGAAGTTTTCTTTGAACAGTCTGATGTTAGTTTACCTGGAAAGAAATTATACAGTTAATAATAAGAACAGCATTACTCCTTTATAGTCAGCGCATGAAGTTTTCAGCCCAGACTCGTCTATCCAGCTCCCCTAAGATAGCTTTTTTAAAAAAAACTTTAACAAATCCATTGAGAAGACACATACTTTCGTTTCATTTTATTATTGTCTATTGAATTAATTTTCTGTCTATATGCAGGCGGTTTTCTTCAAGTATTGTTTCTGGTTACATATCTTTGATTTGATATATTTTGTATGCAATGTATCGGTTCTATAGACGTTGAATATATACATGGTTTCTATATCATTCTTTTTCATACACTTTGCAAGTAGAAATACTACATAACGTGTAGTGAATGTCTTCTCTCATATTTGCTGATTTTTTAGGCCAGCCCAACTTAGGCAAATGTGACCAGATGTTAGATTAAATTCCGTGCCAAAATTCCCAGGGAAATTAAAAACTTTCAGACTTGATACTCAACATGATTCTATTCACACTCTCTGGCCATTACGCACTGATATCCTCCAGGATCTCTGGATAGACTTCTCTAGTCATTATTCATGATGTTGGCCTTCTGTAGTGTGTTCTTGATGCAGTATTTATCGCTCAATTTCAGCTTGTGCACTGATCTTTTTCATTCGACCGAATGTATACGGTCGAATAAAAGATGACAGCGTTCCTAATCATTTTCTGTATTATATAAAATGCTTAGGGATCCTATCGTCTTTCATCCTTACCTCATCTTACAACATCATAACTGCCGTTGAAGTACCAGATACTCTATACGGGTAGACTGAGTGAGTTCGAATATATCAGCCTCACTCATGTAAATTTTTTACTGGATACGCAGAGACATTAGGAGAATATAGTATGTTATACAAGCATGATACAACTAAAAACGTTATACAAATTGACGTAAATGTAGTTTAAATTAATTTACATCAGTAACAAGGACCAAATTTCGAGTATGACTCGCTTCAACAGTAAAAAGTTCGCTGGAGTTGAGAATGAGTAGTCTTTTTCATTTTATTATTTCTTCGATTTATTGCCTATCTGATGGCTGTCATTCATAATACCATGAAATTTTAATGCAGCATCCATCGAGCTCACGTACATAAACAAAATCATTGATATTAGGCGTCCTACTTGCAGGCTAAGCAAACGTATGCATTTACTTTTAAGGTGATTCGGTGACAGTTGACAAAGACATCCTTTTGAAAGTACTTATTTCATTTACTTAACAATATGCATAAATTAAAAGAAGACAATGAGAATTAATTTTTTTTACAAAGAGCTTAATATAATAATGAATGTTATGTCATCCGTAAGAAAGCTATTTTCGTTCAGAGTGCTACGAATAATTGTGTTCACTTTCAAGGAAATTTTGAAGGTTTCGTTTTTACATTACATTTACTGATATGACTGTTCAAAAATATTGTGAAAACGCTCCTTCCATTTACTTAAAATATGTATCAAAATAAGTCCATGACGATGAATTCGTTACAAAGAACTTAAAATAATACTGAATAATATGTCATAATAATTCGTAAGAAAGTTATTTTTGTTCGGAAACCTACGCATAAATGATTTCTCTTTCAAATAAATAGTGAAGATTTTGTTTTTTTTCAAACGGATATACACATACGAAACAATTAAATTGTATAAAATTGCTTTAGAAATCGCTATCGAAAAAGTATGAATATCAAGTATTGGCAATACATTATGAGTTTTATTCTCCCATAATTGGAACTTTTCGACGTGAAGAAATGAAATAAGAAAATTTCCATTAATTAAATTTAGAAAATTGGCCGACGTATTAATCAATGAGGTCTATTATTCTTGATTAACCGTGGAGACGATACCAACTAATTAAAATAATCAAGAACAGGAAAGTTGAGTATGAAAAACCCTGAAAAACAAAAAACAAAACAAAAACAAAAGCAAAGGCAAAAAGCAAACAAACAAAAAAGAATAGAAATTATTCGCACGATCGTCTCTACTGATAACACTGAAATAGAACTACATTTTTTATAAATAAAGATTTCATTAGCGCATTAATTTTCTTCCACTTGTTCGTCATAGTCTCTGTAACTGGCTTCATAAAGTTATACGTATAAGGTGCATTATAATCAAGACTGAAATTTTAAAGGGGTCTGGTGAGTAGTTTGCTTTTCTACACGAAATGTCTTTACCAAATGTTGTCGCTTTATACAGATAAATTTCTGCTTATAAAATGACTAAGAAAAGAAAAAGAGGGATAGATGAAAAATAACTAGCATAAAAATAGAATCCTTAAAGTTGTCAAGAGCCATGATCGCAAATGTTCTAAAAAAAAAAAAAAAAGATGGGTTAGCAAATCCAGGATTATTCGAAAAAAGATTTTAGGGGAATGTATTTTCTTAACTTGTACTAATGCAAAGGCAGAACAATTTGTTTCTTTTTATAGTTCTAAATAAATCGAAAAAAAATATATTGAATTGTAATTTCGTTATTTTGTCTCAGAGGTTGTATCGACTTCTTTATCCAGTTTATTTTCTTTCCTCTATAAACCGAGAGACTAGAAATTGAATTCACAGAAATGATACCAAGATAATAATATATGAAACAATGTATATCGTTAATATATCGAGTAATAAATATATTTGCATGACTTGTAATTTGGTTTAAATTTTATCTTTATCTTCGCGGTAAACAGATTTATTTTATCGTGATATTTTTATTGTTGGAGGTACTTATTTATTGTTGGAGATTTTGAGGGTGTTGTCCGCTAAGTTCACGTATTGTATATGATGTTTTTCACAGTATAAGCTAACGTCCATAACACGTTGAAACACCGGTTCTCGTCGGATCAGCGAAGTCAAGCAACATTGAGCCTGGTTAGTACCTTGATGGGTGACCGTTTGGAAATACCAGGTGCTTTAAGCATGGATGTGCAGGTGGTGTAATTCTCGGAATTGGAACTCGGCTCTCCTATTTCCAATTGTAGTCAAGTTCACTATATTCACTAATGCACAAATATCCTTGGGAAAGGTATGAAACTACCCTTTCTCTATCAACTATGGGATAAGCAGTAGAACTTGTATAATTATATCCAAAAAATTTTACAATCTAAAACATTTTCTGGCTTTAAATAAACTTCAAAAGGCCGATAAGCTGTAAAAAACAACGAAGCTAATCAATTAAATTTTCACAGTTATTTATTTAACTTTGTGTTTTAAATGAACAGGTCGAAATAATTATTCTTTTCTGGAGAAAAATCCAACCCAGAAAATTTATTCCTACCCACCTCAACTTAGGTTGCAGGTATTGTAGAAGAAAACATTTCAGTCTAAAAAAAAAATTCTGTTGGCTCGTCTATTTGAAACTCAAAGGCAATCCGAAAACAGATTGGACTTGAATCAATGAGATAACTCTTTCCTTTAGAACCTAATTAAATTCACAATGTATTTTTTACTTATAGGAGAGAGGCACCTTAGTAGGTGAATATTACATTATTATTTAACTTGACAAAAAGTCACCTTATTGAGGCACAAATAGATTATCGAACTGATTGCTTTAACGATAGTGAATAAAGTATCCCTCTAGATATTCTTCAGTGATCGATCTTACCTGTTTAAGAATGTTTGTAAGCACTGCTATCTTCGAATTTTCAATTTTTCATATAAAATCTAGAATGAAACGTTTGATACATAAAAAGAAACACCTGTTCTCATATTGCGATTCATGAAATTCTCATTTAATTTATGAATTCATAAAACAAAAGTCACGATAAGTTATTGTTACTTTTTCACAAATAATCTAATTCTTTGTTCAAATGTGAAAAGAAAAAAAACGATAGAGTAAAAAAAGATTATTTTAATTGATACATTTAAACATATATAAGTATACATATGATTATTCTCAATTAAGGAATCAGATTCTTGGCTTTTATTTTGGAAACGGTTGGGGTGATATTATTTTGTCCAGGTGGTTTATATAAATTATTTTCATTTAACATTTTTATTTTTATCACATAAATATATTTCAAGTCTGGTATTATAGGGAAATGTGTCATTGTTTGTTTTTTCTTCTGTGAACTATCAAAGGACGGACGATCACGTTTTCTCACGACCCCCCGTTGCTTTTAATAACTCTTACTCTATTATCCTTTTATTTTTCCCTTCGTGGTCCCTGTTCTGCTATCGTTAAGTAACCCTTCTCTTTTGCCTATAATTATAACCTGGGAGTGTGTGGCTTGGAAAACGTATATTATATGGTGCGAATCAATCGAACCCAATGAAATGTTATGCACATTATTTTTCTTGATGAAAACATTTCATTAAGATCCAAGCGTGAGTTAAGATGAATTCACACACATGCGCACGCACGTACACACAAACACACACGTGTACGTGTATATATTATATATGTATATATTTGCACACGTGTGATTATTGGAAATAATTAAAATTTTAGATTTTATAGGATCTAAAATTTTAATTATTTCCAATATGTAATCATGCCGTTAATATACAAATTGAATGCGAAGTAGGCACTTCGAATTGTAATTGTTACCAAACTCCTCTCGTGAGATCGATTATGACTGAGTAGTATGGCCAGTTTTTACTGTGTGCTCTTTACTTGCAGCCTTGAGTAACGCTTAGCAAACCTTTATTAAGCGCAATAAGCTGGTAATTAGTTCCATGAAAACTAAGTTTTAGTCTATTTTATATTGATAATAATTTCAGATCTATTTTATGCAACAATATACATACAAATAGAATATAAACTTCCTTGATTTTGAAATTGTTGTCAAGAATGATATAGAATCAAATTCATAAAAAATAATAATAAACATATATTGGAGAAACAGAAAATATTTCGTTTGGAATTCGAAGAATCATTCTGTGAATGCCTTTGGGAATAAAATAGTGATGGCTGCAGATCGTATAAATATGTAAATGTTATGAAAATAGGAATATCTGATTTGTAAAAACGTTTGAAGGTGAACTGACTGAATGAAATGAATTCTATTCTTTTTAAATATTTTAACAACTAAATATTTAAAAAAAATTAAAAATCATTTCTGAATCGATATTTTACTTTTGACATTAACATTTTTCAAATGCTAATAAACCGTTATTTTATAAAGAAGAGTAAAGAAAATTAAAAAATTTACGAACAAGGAGTGTGTACGTGTGGGCAGAGATAAATCAGATGTTAAAATAGGGGTCTAAATAAATGCTAAAAGTATGGAGGCTAATCAGATTTTAAAAGAAAGGGATTTAATCTGATGGTAAATTGTAAAGAGGTAAATCAGATGTTAGAATGTGGACTAAATCTTATGTTGAAAATGGAGGGCTAAATTTGATGTTGAAAGTGGGGGGTTGAATCTAATATTCAAAGTGAAGGGCTAAATCTAATGTTAAAAGTGGACATAGTTAAATAAAATATTAAATTTTGATAGTTTCTTGACTTTACATGTTTTTTTTTTATCTGATCTCCCCATAAAATGAACATCTGTTTTACATATATTATCCTACTGCAAACATTTCAATATAAAACAGTAAATAATCTTAGTAAACAATTCTAGTACAAGAAATTGCTTTTGATTTTAAATACACATCTTTTTATTTTTCGTTTCTACTTATTTTCTGGAATAAGACAAATAAACTTTATTCGATTTATATAAAAGATTTAGAAGCTAATATTTCGTAAAATAGGAAATTAAGTTTTCTGATTTATTTTGAAAGTTAATGGCGATAGTGATTATAGACAAATAATACAACTGAGTTCAATGCCATTGTCATCGTTTAAAGCCAAGAACACAAATTTAGACTTTTGTTAAGTTCTCCCAAAATAGTATTGAACAAACTCGCCTCTCACATAGTCAACGTGGATGATTTAAAAATGGCAACAGTTTGGTAAGCCTGGAGTTAAATATTTCCTGTGTTATTGCTTCTTAAAAAATAACATTGAACTCCTAATTACAACAGCTTCGACATTACGATTTTTAAATATCTTACTGTGTGCACGAGTTAATTTGTTAATCCAAACATATTTTGGAAAGAAAACCTTTCTTTTGCTATTTTTATCAAAATATTTCATCCGACTTATCCTTTGGTTTTTCTCAGAATCCTATAATATTTAAAAGTTCTCTAATAATTTTTATTTCTTTGCTATTCATTTTGTCAACATGAACACTAAAGTATAACATGTGTCTGAAAAAGGTAAAAGTGTTTTCAATTTTTTTCAGTTTTAATGTATGGTCTGATAGAAAGCTACATTCATTAGTTAAATTATTAAATTATTAATTCAATATTCACTCGCAAAAAAAAGAATTATTCTTACAATCCAAAATATGTTGCGACCTTAAATGACCCAGATTGTTGATAAGCTATAAAAGACCAATCAATCAATCCTTCAGAAAGGTGTTAAATTATTATTATTATTGTTTGGCGGGTGTGGTGCGAGTATGCTTAATAATTAAATGAGATGCTTTAACTTGATGATGATAGTCAGATCTCAGCTCCAGCTTGCAGTTTTGGAGATTGAAAACTTTATTCAGCACTTAATCTATTCCAATCCTTGGTTCCACCAGTTCAGACATTCACATATATATATATATATATATATGTGTGTGTGTGTGTGCGTATTTAATCATTTCACCCCGAGCAAAGCAATAACGCCACTAAGACACAATTGATTACCATGAACAAAAATTAAGAAAGCAGAAGATTGTTGACGTTGACTTTTGAAGATAAAAGTTGAATGGGAAGTAATAAGCCAGGAGAGAATTCCACAAGCGAGAAGTGCGAGAGAAAAGCTATTAGCATATATATTAAGGTTACATCTAGCCATTTCAACTGTAAAATGATGAAAACTTGCTACCGATCTAGTACTGCGCTTAAATTCATAAAATCTAGGTATTATAGAGGAAAGTTCATCAGAACAATTACCATGAAAGTATTTATAAAAAAGGAAGGGGTTAGCCACATGACTTGGTGCAAAAGTGACTGAAGCCGAGATGCCACATTAGGACTAATGATATTGCCGAGTCTTCTGCTAATGGAATGTAAAAAGGGTTTTATCAGACGATTAAAAAAGCAGTTTCATTTTGGAGGTGTTAAAATTAAGAAGCCATTCCTTGCCCCAGTTAACAACAGAATTTATAACATTTTCTAGATCAGCTGCCAATTTGACCTTATAGAACTGCTCAGACTTACTATTAAGAGAGAAATAAAATAAAGCTCATAATTATACTACAAAAAGGTTCGTGTCCTTTAAATCAATGGATATTTTCTGTATCGGAAATTTTTGTCAAACGAAGGGAAAATGATGAAAGGTGAAGGAAGGTGATGAGCCCCATTGGAATTTGAGTGCGTATGCACAAAACCTTGCTCCATAGATGCACAGGGGGAATATTGATTAATAATTTTATATATTTAATATATATATATATATATATATATATATATATATATATATATATATATATATATATATATATGATAAAATATAGTTTTATAGTATGCTATATTTATGGGTTAAAGTGATCAATATCAGGGGTAGAGCGTATGTATTGAATTTAACAATCAGAGGCGACATTGTTGTGGAGTAGATAAACACCCATACAAGATGAACTGGACTAATACTATTTAAACAGCAGACTCTCTTACTGAGGAAGAGCATTTATCCATTAGGGAAATTGCGTGTTTTGTTGGATCAAAATTTTTTACGAACTGTAAATTGACGTTATGTTAATCGTTTTATTTTTCGTTTTCTTTCTGCTACCCATGAAACTTTTGGAACTTTTACATTATAGTTTTTCTTTGATTTTTCTTTTTTGTGTAATACGTTTTAAACATTTTCTTTGTGTTACCTGTGTGTGTGTCCCCTTTTTTGCAAGTCAAACTTTTATTTTTCCTTAGTGTATTTT